TTTTTTCACAAAAAAGCCTGATAGTGCCAAAAGTTGGTCTTGGCTAACTTTTCATAGGAAGTGTATTAGAATCCAAAATTTTAGGTTAGTAGTTTTAGACATTGAAGTTTTGAATGAGCCAAAAAGAATCGAAAAAAAAATTTTATCGTGTGCCTCGTATGCTCGGTGCTCTCATGGGCGCTCTCTTAATTAGAATTTGGGATCATCTTAGTAAGATATCAAAAAACAGTCAAACGACAATAATCATAACAATTCATTACATTGAAGAAGCAAGACAAGCTGATCGAGTAAGTAAAGATGTATACTTTTTTTGATCAAAAAAAAACAAACTTTCCTTTAGGTTGGTCTTATGCGAAGTGGTCGAATGTTAGCTGAAGATGAACCATTAAGTTTGTTAATTAAATATAATCAAACGGTTTGTTTGTTTATTTGAATAAGATAAATACAAAAATTACTTTTTTTATTTTAGAGTTTAGAAAGTGTTTTTCTTCATTTATGTGTTGAAGATCAAAAAAATGTTCTAAAAAGTTCTTCACATAGTATTAATCAGGATGATTTAACGAATAGTGCTTCTAATACTAATAATGAGAATATGCCTTCGCTTGATGTTACTACTGGAGAAACTCCTCATTCTGAAATTCGTAGAAAAGAATTAGTAAAAAATCATAAGTTTATTAAAGAACAAATCAATAATTAAATATTTCTTTTTGTTCCTCAAGCTGTATTACGTGCAAAACGAACTGCAGTAGATTCTTGTATTTGTCCTCATATGCATAAAATTTACGCATTAATGGTTAAAGATTTAACAGCAATCAAAAGAAATATTGGGTAAATATTTTTATTTTATTGTGATAAGATTTATTTTTTTTGTTTAGGTTTTTAATTTTTCAATTTTACCTTCCTCTTGTACAAATTTCACTTTTTTGTCTTTGTATTGGTCGTAAGTTTCATTTTAATTTTAATTTTAATATTAATTTATTTTTTATTCTTTTTGAAAATAATATTTAGGTGATCCTCAACACATTCCAATGACACTGTATAATAGTGAAGCAATAAATGGATATCCTACAGGAAATTTAAGTTTACAACTTTTAAGTAAAATAAATCCAGAACAAATTCATTTTGTAAGAAATTTAATCATTCTTTGTTTTTTTTCTTTTATTTAATTTGACTATTTAAAGACACCATTTTATGATTTGAATCAAGCTATTGCTGCTGTTAAACGAGGTGATTATTGGGGTGTAACTGCTATTAGATTTAATTTTTCGGAAGGAATCAAAAATAAGTCGGTATTTTGATTTTTATTTATGTGATTTGTTTTTTTTTGTTTTCATTAAAGATTAATTTCATTGAAAAACAGATTCATCAACATTAAATGCATCATCCATTCATCTTTATCTTGATATGACGAATAAATTAAGTCATAGAAATATTTCAACAGCCTTTTTAATAAAATCTAGACAAAAATAGAATCCAGAAAAATATCAAGTTAAATGATAGAATCTTAGATCGTATTCTATGATTTGCTGGATAGCTTATGTTAGAAATTGTTTTAATACACTTCTATGTGCGGAAACTGTCTTTCTGAAGGTTCATAATAAGATTAGTAGAGTACGATCAAGTCGAATTATCAAATAAATCATATTAATGTTCTGTAAACAAAAAGGCTGTGGGTGGGTGTGGGGTGTGGGTGGGTGTGGGTGTGTGGGTGTGGGTGTGGGTGTGGGTGTGGGTGTGGGTGTGGGTGTGGATAAGACTTCGATCCACACCCACACTCACACCCTAAGTGTATCAAGTGTAATAAGAGTGAAGAACGAATGAGCAACTGAACGACAAATACGATTCTCTTACAAAGATAAAGAAAAAAAATCTGCGCACGCGTTCTGTTACTATTACCAGAGTATCAAAGTTACTTCACAGTATAGGATATTGATAGTAAACTTTATTGTTTTACTGCGCTATTATTATATAGTGAATAAAGGCATGTAAACAAGCCTTTATCGTATTATTTTACCGAATTTTTTTCCTATGCATTTATACACATTCATTCCCACATAACTATTTTCACTAGTCTACGAATACTGACACGTTAGCAGTTAGGATAAGAAAACTTTCCTCATATATATACATAATGTTGCTAGAACTCCTAATATTATTCATTTATGTAGTAATTCAGGAAGGTCAAGTTGATATCGATAATGCTGATAAATAATTACCAATGATAATCCTGAACCTAAGCGCGCCATCAGTTCATTAAAACACTAAGAAATTTCGGTTCATAATATTTGTCTCTTTCTCTACATGATGAATCGGTACCAATTATCTCCTACGAAAGAAAAATGATATTTTTCTATTGTTGAACAGTTTATATGGAATTTTTCCAGTGATAAATATAGCTTCTTATGTGTACAATGCTGGGTGGAAAGAACACTTACATTCATTGAGCTATAAGTGCTTGGTGAAGTATGTAGTGGTGAGACCATTACATCATTGTATTGTGAGTATAATACATGCTATAACTCTAAAACTTACAGAGCATATTGGTGAATCCGTGAGCAAAATGAAAAAAACATTTCAGCTGCACCGGACAATCTAAAGATGATTTCCATAGGGACAGAAATGAAAATCATCACAACTGAGATTCTGTAGGTATCCTTTGACAGCATGATATCTCAGCAATCTGAAAGAGTTTTTTAGTGAAAATTTCACTGGAGAAAGCTGAGAGTTCAGGCTTTCGAACGATGGATTTCGCCGAATCCAAAGTGCTTATATGGCTGAGATATAAGCAATCTAAGATAAAGACAGTGTTTCGTGTATAACTCTGTTCTATTACATTAAATTGATGTCGGGTTGGTGTCTACGATCAGCATTTTTCACTACGTACATGCAACCAAAATCTCAAGTCAAAAGCTTAATATATAGATAAACTTCAGGGGGCTAGGAAATCATGGCCAGCACGGTATACATCAAGTTATGGATAGATTCGTATTATTTATTTTTTAAGAAATTATTATTTGATATTATTATTTTGATATGATTAACACTAGATATTACTTGTTACCATTGAATAGTGAATCAATTTATTATTCTATGAAGTTCAAAAAGTTCAAAAATTAGACTAATTCAAATTATGAATATTTAATTATTTGTATTATCCATTTAGTTGAGAAATTATTAATTAATTTATAAATGAATCTACTTTATAAAGTCAAGTTGCTGTTCAAAAGTGTTAAAAAAGTTGGTCATACAATTTGAATAACCGACTTACTTATGATGTTTAACAATGTTTTTATTCAAAAATCAAGCCCCGTCTCGGATCCAATTTTGATTTTGATTTGTTTTACCTTTGATTTTGCCTCTATTTCTTTCTCTCTTTGCTTCAAAGTTGAATTTAATTGATAAGTTTCATTTAAAAATTTTTCCATTTCCATTTTTAATTTTTGCTTTTGTGCTTATAATTGTAAATGCAAAGCCCTTATGAGTGTTTTAATATTTTTAATAGATAACACGAAACGCGTCGGCGAAATTAGCTCTGTATTTCTTTTCAATTATTTTAATCAAAGCACATTAACTTTTTTTATTCAATTTTAATTTGATTTTCGACTAGATCGATTGCTGAAAAGCAAAAGTTGAGGCCAGTAGATTGAACTTGTCTTTTCGTTAAAAGATAGGTCGGTCTGTTTTCAATTGATTAACCCACACCCAGCTCTACACACTACTGTAAGAAAAATCTACCACTACTCTTGTAGTAACAGTACAGATTCAACTTTGTTTCGATTCTTCATATGTCTCTA